ACAGTAAATAAAATAGCCGTTATATTTTTAAAAAACATAACGGGAGTTTTCCTCGCACATAACGGGTAATTGCCGTTATGTTTAATACTTAACATGTATGAAAATAACATAACGGTTTTAGCGTTATGTTTAGTCATAGCAAAATTGCCTTAAACATAACGGTTACATAACGCTAATTTATCGTTATATGCGAAGAAAACTCCCGTTATATAACGGGTAATTACCCGTTATGTTACCGTTATGTAAAATGAAACTTATCTTTTTTTACGAAACGCATATTCTGCATGACTATTCGCACAAAGTACTAACAAAAAAACATTTTTTTGTCAATAAAAGTTGTAATGAGAAAATAAAAATTATTCAGTTTCATATCTTAATATATTTATATTATACTATTTATAATAATCATGAAAAATATTTACAAAATAATTGAATAAATTATTTACAAAATAATTGAATAAATTATTTACAAAATAATTGAATAAATTATTTACAAAATAATTGAATAAATTATTTACAAAATAATTGAATAAATTAATAACAAAATAATTGAATAAATTATTTACAAAATAATTGAATAAATTATTTACAAAATAATTGAATAAATTATTTACAAAATAATTGAATAAATTAATAACAAAATAATTGAATAAATTATTTACAAAATAATTGAATAAATTATTTACAAAATAATTGAATAAATTAATAACAAAATAATTGAATAAATTATTTACAAAATAATTGAATAAATTATTTACAAAATAATTAAATAAATTATTTACAAAATAATTGAATAAATTATTTACAAAATAATTGAATAAATTATTTACAAAATAATTGAATAAAATAACTTATAAAAATTTATAAATTCAGAAGTAATTTGCATTGCTTTGAAAAGATTGCAGAAGAAAAATGCATTTTTTAGATAATAAAGCCAACTGCAAAAAGTCTCAAATATCTTGCTAACATCCCAGAAGCCGCCCAAAACAAGAATATTTTAAATCTAGCAAATAGTAAACAAATGTACTGATCAAGGGTTGAACATCCATTTCGACACCTCTTCAACTCCTTACATCATATTCTGTTTTATTAAAGATAACTTGTGGACCATATAAACTTTGGCATAAGTATTCATGTAGTGAATCACACCAAAATTTTATAAATAAAAAATAATTATCACAATCATAAAATAAAAAATTATTATTAATACATTAAATGGAAAAAAAGAAAAAAGAATGTGAACCATTGCAATACAAAATATGCTTACCATTAGTTAAAATGTCAGTAATATTACAAGCAATAACAATTTTCTTTCCCCAAGAAATTTGACAACAGCCTTTATTATTTTCAACTATTAACTATTGAAGAAATAAGTAAAGCAGTTATTATTAGTTTATACTACTTTAATTTTACAAATAGTATATTTAACATTTTTTAATACTTGCAATACAAAATTAATGTTAAAAACAGTAATAATAAACAGACAGGTCAGACGGTAAGAGGTAAACACCATTATTACACAAGTATTAAACAACATTATTAAACAACATTATTTGGCACAATTTAATTAGTTTAATAATATTACACTAATTTATATTATATTACTAGAAAAAATTTATTATAAAAATATCATATAATATAATACAATAATCATACTATTATAGTATAAAGTTTATATATCATAAGCATATAATAGGGTCATTCCATATAAGATGAGCCAAGCCTTCTCGCCTGACATTGTTTTATTTTCTTGAAATGTATACCTCCTGTAGGTTTTATGGACCAAAAATATTTTTTCAGAATTTCAACTTAATAACAAATAATTTTTTCTTTCAAAATAATTTCAAATATTAAAGACTTAGTCTATTTCAGGGAACTTATTGGTCAATTTACGGACCGAAAATTGGCACAATATACAGTGAATTAAAAATTTGAAATTTTTAGGTATGCATTTTCAATACAAGAAGTATAAATGCAGCATAAACAAATTTGGTGCTTTTTGTGGTGCTGAGATATCTGAACAAAATAGCATTATAAAACTCAAAATTCACTATTTTGAATTTGTTTTATAGCCAATATCTCTAAGAGGGATCAATTTCCATTTTTCCGATTTCCAAATAATTCTTCAAACTAACCTTGAACATTTTTATGATAAAAGTTTAATTAAACAAAAATAGTTCATGCAGTTTAATACCTTAATATATTTATATTAAATCATTTTTCATAACCAAGAAAATAATTAAACAAATTAACTTTGATAAAAATTAACATTAATAAAGTCAAAAGTACTTTGCATCACTATGAAAAGACTGCAGAACTAAAATAAACTTTTTAAATAATAAAGCTTATTGCCCAAATCCGCAAATATCTTGGAAACATCACAGAAGCTGCCCAAAACAAGGATACGTTAAATCTAACCAATAAACAGCCATCAAAATGACATTATATATATTATAATTATATATATACATATATATATATATATATATATATATATATATATATATATATATATATATATATATATATATATATATATATATATATATATATATATATATATATATATATATATATATATATATATATATATATATATATATTAACAATAGATGCCATGGCATTTATTGTGAGCAATCAAAACATACCAATCAGTTATGGGCTTCAGAACCAAATATACAATAAATATATATTAATTAACAACCAAAATGCTGTTTTATAGCTAAGTTACTTAGTAAGTGGTAAATACCGTATTTAAATAAATAAGTAAACTAAAATAGTAGAGACATTATAAACAAAAAATCTAATTGCAAAAATCCTTTAGATTCGCGCCATTTTGTAAACATAACGGTTAAACATAACGCTTTACAAATATCATACAAATGGTTTTGGGCATAAAGCTTTAAACTTACAGGGTTATTCATTTTTATATGCGCGTCTATTCATTTTTATATGCGCCTTTATTCATTCTTATATGCGCATTTATTCATTTTTATATGCGCCTTTATTCATTCTTATATGCGTATTTATTCATTTTTATATGCGCCTTTATTCATTCTTATATGCGCATTTATTCATTTTTATATGCGCCTTTATTCAATCTTATATGCGCATTTATTCATTTTTATATGCGCATTTATTCATTTTTATATGCGCCTTTATTCATTCTTATATGCGTTTTACAAAAGCAATTGTAAAAAAGCAATTTGAACAAAAAAATATCATTTAAGCAATTTGTTCTGAAAAAACAGTTTATTTTTCCAAAACAAATTATTCTTATTTCCAGGTAAACGAGGTTAAAAATACTTAAAACGAAGACTTTTTACATTCGACGATGGTTTATTCAATTTAGTATTAGTTCTTTGTTTTCGATGATAGTTTATTTAATTTATTATTAGTTCTTTGCAAATTTATTATTATATTTCTTGATTGATTAAGTTATTATTTATCTAATTATTCATTTATCTAGATTTAAATTTAATTGTTTATAATTATTATAAATATCAAATTATACACCCCTATGGATGCAATAAAAAATAGCAGTACCAATCGTAAAACAAGGGAAAAAGTTACAAAAGAGCACATTGAAATGCTTAAGCATTTAATTGAGAGAAATTAATTTACAACAAGCATTTCCACTTCTCTTAACTTATCGAAGCGCGCACTTCAAAATTTTGTCGTTAAGTTAAACAGAGGATAATTCGACGATATGACTGCATTCAAGTCGTTTTCTATGAGCGTTTGAGTTTTCTTGAAATAGTAGACTGAGAAAATGTTAAAGCTTGCTGCAGAATGATATTTTTTTTATTGCTTCTTGCGTGCAAAGATTGTTTTCTTGTACGTATAATTCGATAATATTTTTTATTTGAGAGTTTATTGGTCGTTTACCTCGTTTTCTATCAGAAAACGACTTGAATGCAGTCATGTCGTCGAATTATCCTCTGTTTAACTTAACGACAAAATTTTGAAGTGCGCGCTTTGATAAGTTAAGAGAAGTGGAAATGCTTGTTGTAAATTGATTTCTCTCAATTAAATGCTTAAGCATTTCAATGTGCTCTTTTGTATTATGCTCTTTTACGATTGGTACTGCTATTTTTTATTGCATCCATAGGGGTGTATAATTTGATATTTATAATAACTATAAACAATTAAATTTAAATCTAGATAAATGAATAATTAGATAAATAATAACTTAATCAATCAAGAAATATAATAATAAATTTGCAAAGAACTAATAATAAATTAAATAAACTATCATCGAAAACAAAGAACTAATACTAAATTGAATAAACCATCGTCGAATGTAAAAAGTCTTCGTTTTAAGTATTTTTAACCTCGTTTACCTGGAAATAAGAATAATTTGTTTTGGAAAAATAAACTGTTTTTTCAAAACAAATTGCTTAAATGATATTTTTTTGTTCAAATTGCTTTTTTACAATTGCTTTTGTAAAACGCATATAAGAATGAATAAAGGCGCATATAAAAATGAATAAATGCGCATATAAAAATAGGGATGTACCGAAGCTGCAATTTTGCCGAAGCCGAAGCTTCGGCCGAAGCCACTTTGCCGAAGCCGAAGCTTCGGCCGAAGCCGAAGCTTCGGCTTAAGCTATACGTAATTTAAAGCTCAATTTACTTCACCACGGTGCTTTGAATAATCAAGTTGCTTTCAAAATTATATATCAATGTTTTAGGTTTTAATGTTTTGGCCTACATGCCCATTTTAGGAAAATTATAAAACAAAACCAATATTATAAAAAATTTAAACAAATTTTGTACAAAAAAATTTAGAGAGTGAAATTTAGAGTCTTAACTCTATATATCTAGCAGGTATAGGAAAGATTACATCACTAAATCTTAGACATTTACTGATACTTAAGGTAAATTATGGTCTATTCTTTATTGTGCCCTGTGTGCGACTCAGGGAAGTGTGTAACTTGTAAGATGAAATGTTTAACTGTAAACTCATGCGTTACAAATCTAGCTGTTAAACTGTAATACTATTGAATTGTGTGCTGACAGGTCCAACCATCACTAGTTAAACTTAAAAAATCTGCTTGATCAAGCTCATATTTTACTTTGGCTTTTATGGTTTCATACATCAGTGGAATGACTTTTGTGGAGAAATACTTTCGACTAGGTATTGTATAGTTTGGAGCTAAATTCTTTAAAAGTCGGATAAAACCTTTATCTTCAACAATACAGTATGGCTGCAAGTCTAAACATATCATTTCTCCAATAAGCTTGGTAATAGCTTGAGCCTTAGGATTATCAAGTTGCCACAATTCTTTTCTTTGCAAAATCTCCCGCAGTGAGACCTGAAACAAATTCAACGAATTAAAAAAATTACTTAGCAACTTGTAACTAACAATGGCCAGCGACGGATCTAAGTGGCGGATAGAGGTATGTATCTTTCCCCCCTCACAAGTACATTTATTATAATATTATAAGCTTAGATAAGTTAAGTTAACATTTTTCTATACAAAAGATAATTTTTCGACAAGACATGCCCCCATCCAGTCACAAAATCATGAATACTGAATAGTAAATGAATTCAGCTACAGTTAGCTGAGTTACCTGTGTCGATGCTTTTTGAAAAAAGGCAATTGTGTTATTAGACACACGCGAGCTTCCCTGCGTTTCATCTGTGGCAGTGCTGGTAATGATTTGCACTGATTCAGCAGAGCTTGTTCTATCTGAGCATATTGTTCGAGTAGTGCAAAATTGTTTTATAGACTTTTCATTTGGATTTGGTAAAGATTCGTGGTTAATAATTTTCTTCTGAGAAAGAATCATGCTATGTATATTGTAATGTACTTTTTTCAGATGGTTTTGTAAATTTGTTGTTGACATGTTGTGTGCGTCTTTACTTCCTCTAGACAAAATCTTCTTGCAAAGTATGCAGATGGCTTTGCCAACATCTTCATCACTCACTTTAAAATAATTCCATAAGGGATTTTTACTTCGCGATGAGGTAGCCATAATGCGCTAATGGATAACTTAAAGTTATAATAACAATTCTGAAAATTGAAATAGAAAGTTTAATTATTTTCTTACCTTTAATAATATTTATTGAAATAAACAATATTCGTTCAATTTTTTGATTCAAATATTATTTGAATTATAAAAAATCGAAGTCGTAAATAACCAATTAACCTATATTTGTAGAGCAGGTATATTTACTTTTACTAATGATCCAGCGTACAAAATCAAAAACAAACGCAATTGACTTACATTTCAATTGTGCTTTTCTGTGTAGTGTCTTTTCTGTGTAGTGTCTTTCTGTGTAGTGTCTTTCTGCGTTCTGTCTGTGACTTAGTAAAACAAACTTTCTGAATAAAAATTGTTTCGTGCGTTAAAATTAACTTATTGTATAGATTTTTAAAAATTTCGAGAATAGTTAACTCTCTTAACTCCCGTGCGCTATGTTTTAGTTACATCTAAGTAATTTTAAATGAAGATTTATTTCCAGGTTTAATTTTTAATTTTAATTTAATATTAAAAAATATATAATTTAACATAACTCGGATTTTAGAAGTTGATGCTAACTAATAACTAAATGCTAAAAAAATTAAATTTTAATAATTTTTCATTATTTTACTACCAACTATGCATAAATAAATTTTATTGCTAAGCTCGAGTGATCATAACTAAGTATTAGGGTTATGGTATTTAATTATATAAAGTTTACTATAATGTTACAGTTTAAATCAGCTTATATTGAGTGATTATAAAAAAATCAATGTGTTTCATTAAGTAACTTTACTTTCTATCCGCTATCGTGCCGTTTTTAGCCGCCCTACACGCGGCCTTGCCACCTCCAAAAGCCGTTGCTGGATTCATTTAATCTTTGCAACTGTATAAATCAGAGGCTTATTTCTATTATTAGGCAAATTTCTCAGAAGAAGAAAAGAAAAAGAAGAATTTTGAACGTTCAACTACGTTTTATTCGGAAAACAGACAACGTGTGAACGTTTAAAAAATGTCTTCCTCAGTCGAATGCCAGCTTAGTAATGTCCATTTTTTTGCCGAAGCCAATGATTCGGCAAAAAACGCCCATGGCTTCGGCCGAACCGAAGCTTCGGCAAAATTGCCGAAGCTTCGGCAAACCGAAGCCGAAGCCGAAGCTTCGGTACATCCCTATATAAAAATGAATAAATGCGCGTATAAGAATGAATAAAGGCGCATATAAAAATGAATAAATGCGCATATAAGAATGAATAAAGGCGCATATAAAAATGAATAAATGCGCATATAAGAATGAATAAAGGCGCATATAAAAATGAATAGACGCGCATATAAAGATGAATAACCCTGTAACATAACGCTAATATAACGGTGAACATAACGCCAAAATTTTCAATTACCGTTGTGTAACCGTTATTTTAGCGTTATGTTTTTAGCTGTGTAGGTAAAAAAATCATAAATATTGTTATATTTTTTAAAGTTCTTAGTTTATAGTCTTTAGATTTTTATTTCTAAAATTTACTGTTAAATTTAAGGTTGTGAGCACATTTTGTATGTATAACTTTATTTATCATTATTTATTTATTTTTCATAGTTTTTGGTAAATATATCTATCATTCAATAGTTGTAAAATGTGTTTATACGTGTTGCATAAAGTCATATTTGTTTATAGTTATATATATGTTTAAATTATAAAAGCCAAAACAACAATTTATATCTTAGTTTGATTTTTTTTTTAGTATTGTTAATGCTTTGGTACTTCGAAACAGGTTTTATAGTTACATTTTCGATAAATCTTTGTGTGGTGGTTTCTGTTGGTTTTTTTTCTTCGTAATTATGATACCCAGCGGGCACGGAAACGTCCATATGACGTCGAAAGGACGTCTTTTTAGGACGTCCAGAACTGGTTCTAAATGGCAACGCCAGATGACGTCTTTTTAGGACGGATTAAAGACGTGTTTTGAGACGTCTAAAAGACGTGAATTTAGGACGTTCAGAACTAGTGCTAAATGGAAACGCCGAATAACGTCTTTAAATAACTTAATTTAGACGTTCTTATTTCGACGTCTAAAATACGTGTTCAAACATGGCTTTACTTAAACGTAAGGTTCAAATTTATGTTTTTACAGAACTTCTTGAGAATGAGAAAAAAATAATAAATCATTTAAATTTTTTAATAATATAATTGTGCTGAGTTTTATAAATTACAACTTTGTAAACTTCTTCTTCCACTTGTTAATTTCCAAGAATCGAATTTTCAAACAGTTGACGTCATTCACTTTCTTTTCGATCAGATGCACTCTTTAAAATATTGCCACTAGCATTTTAAAGTTTTTTTTTTGCTGTAGGAATCAGGAAAGCAGTCTTAACCTTAAAAAAATATTGTTAAGATAAGTATGTAAAAATAAAGGGGAAATAGATAAATAACACACACACATATATATTATTATTATTTTATAAACATAACATCAAGCATCAAAAAATACGAATTTCTCAACACTAAATTTATTTTTTAAAAGAAATTTTTGACTGGATTGTTGTGACCAGCGTATATATTTATGGATATCAAGTATGCAATATAATTGCGGTATTAAAAATGCTCTTTTTATAGTAAAATTATACTTACTTTGAAAGCATGCCCTTCTCAAATGCATTGCATGATGAGCCACCAACATTTAATAACATCTATTTCTAAATTCAAAAGATAACACTAGTGTAATTGATATGGGACAATTTAGTGTAAGTTATATTGGGCATAGGAGCAATTCATTAGTGTTTTATTCAATTCAAAAATTTTGTGTAAATTATGTTCACTTATAAAGTGAGCATTATGTATATAATTACAGATCAAAATTTTTTATGTAATTTACCCTTATAAAAAAAAACTAAACATTTAACCATAATAAAAAATATACAACTTTTTGCAACATTAGTATCGAGAAATGATTGATCACATTCAAGAGACTTGGCGATAGAATCATACTAGTAAAGATTAAAACTATTCTCAACTTTAAACGTTTTTTATATTTCATTATTCTTAAGATAAGTAAGTAAATGAATTAAAAACTGTATATTATAATTTATATATATATATAAATTATAATAGAAAAAATATATATTACATCTTCGCTTCTAACAAGGCTGCGAACAACCACTATAAGAGTTTGGAAGTTATTGGAAGAGAAAAGATTAAGTTCGTAGGGCAAGATAACGATTGACAGATGACTTTAAAGATTGCAAATTATATGAATCAGGGAAGCAAGATGAAGGAAGCAAATTCCAAAGAACTGATGTTCGAAGAAAAAAACTTGCGTTAGAGCAGTGCCAATTATAGTATTTGTAGAAAAAAGAAAAAGAAGCAACATCACAACGATGTGACAATGGTTGGAGATTGGCAGGTCCAACTGTGTTTACAATGCGTTTTTGCACCTCGTCTAAAAGTGAAAGGGCATCAATAGAAGATCTGCCCCAGATATGGCAACAGTATTCCATACAGGGACGGATTTGAGATTTATAGAGATAGAGAATAGAATCTAGAGTAAGGAAGTGTCGAGGTCGATAAAGAGATGCAACCTTAGCAGATGCTAATTTTGCAATGGATTTGATATACGGTTTAAAAGAAAGATCAGAAGTAAAAGTTAATCATAGAAGGTGAAGGGTATATGACTCATCTAGTACATTACCATTCATAAATATAGGAAGATTAAAATTATTGCGATAACGATTGGCCGAACAAAATTGAGTTTTATCTGAAATAAAGTTCACCAGCCATTGTGAGCCACATGCTGTAGCAGAGGTGAGATCCTTTTTAAGCTCAGATACCCCCTCCAAGCAATCAGAGAGTGTAGGCTTCTTATCATGACAAGAATAAACAGTAGTGTCGTCAGCGAACAATGCCACCTTAGATGTGATAATATAAGATCGTTAATGTAAATTAAAAAGAGTATAGGGCCAAGGATTGAACCTTGAAGAACCCCTGAAGTTACAGGATATGAAGAAGATATGAAGAAGATATATATATATATATATATATATATATATATATATATATATATATATATATATATATATATATATATATATATATATATATATATATATATATGTATATATATATATATATATATATATATATATATATATATATATATATATATATATATATATATATATATATATATATATATATATAACTAACTTAAAATTTTATTAACTACATCTTTTGAAAGGAAATTCTTAAATGTTCTTTTTTTCTTGCTGATTTGACTAAGTACCTATTTTGAGTATTGAGAAGTATTAAAAAAATTAATTTATAAAAATAAAAGGCCTAGATAGTTAAAATAACTTCCAAGATAGTTATTAGAAGAAAAAATATTACTTACATTATTCTTTGTAAAACTTTAAGATTTATCATTGACTTCATATATTTTCTTTAACTTTGTTTTGGGAAAAGCGAAATTTTGAATCACAGACTTTCAAACTTTGGAGGAGCTGAATGAATTAAAAAAGTTTTTACTAATAAAAATTCATTAGGCATATTATATAAAATAAATTATATTACATTAACCATTACATAAAATGAACTATAGCCAAAACCGTTGTTCTATTTTTTAAAAACCGAAGGCAAAAATAAAAATGAACTTTAGAGTTAAATACATTTAATCAAATAAAATTTCTTTAATTTAAAACAAAATTAGATACAAAAACTACAAACACATCAATTCTAGATTCCTAAATGCATATTTAAATAAATGCAATATGAGTTTTTGAAATACAAAACAAAAATGTAACATAATATTACCAAATACAAACATGTATTTGATCAAAACATATATATCAACTGACACTTGATGTAGTTGACGCTCCTAAAAATAAAATCCTTATTAACAAGTAAATAAAACTTATTGATAAAGTAAAAAATATTCTTACAAGTGTTTTTTTTTTTAGCATTAGCATTTTTTTTTTTTTTTTTTTTTAATTTTTTTGTTTAACCTTAAATTGTATGTTTCACACTATCTATTTCTAAATTTTAACTAATACTACAAATTCTACTAATTTTAACTAATAATAACTAATAGTTCTAAATTTTAACTAATTCTAATAATTTTAAATTTTAGCAAAACTCATTTTTATTTTATTTGACA